ATATATATATAGCCAATAAAAAAAAAATATATATATATATATATATATTTTTTTTTTAAATTGATTTTTAAAGAGAGAGGAAGGAGCGGTGGGGGAGAGAAAGAGAAACATTGATGTGAGAGCATAACATCAATTTGCTGCCTCCTGCACACCCCCTACCTGGGATGGAGCCCGCAACCTGGGCATGTGCTCTGACCAGGAATGGAACTGGTGACCTTTTTGGTGCCTGGGATGACGCCCAACAAGCTGAGCCACACCAGACAGGGCTTGGCTAGATGTTTCTGACTGGATTCTTAAAACATTTAACTTAACTCACATGGAATTTATTTCAGGATAAGACATGAATCTAAGTTGATTTTTTCCCCCTTTAAATGTATTTCTATTAAATATTCAGTTCTGTCTTAAGTACCATTATATTATATGGTTGATTCAAGCTTTTATTTATGATGCTTAAACCAAGCCTGTGATATTACCTTGCCTTTATTTCAAATTGTATAATGTCATTACTTAGGACATTACATAATTATAAGATATTAATCACTGATTTAAGAATATTTCCTTACTACAGTAATTATTTTGACCCAAAGTTACAGTAGAGGTTGGGCTATTCTATGATTGTGTATAGATATGACTACTTTGCTAATTCTTTTGATTCTCTCATAATATAATTGAAGAGGTTTATCTGTAATTAAATGAAAAATATTTTCAGCATCACCCAGACTTATGTGTAGATTTCTTTTTCTTGTGAGCTATACATTCTCCTATCAAAATGGGCTTTTCCAGTTTCATTTATTTAGGTTGTAAATTACACAGTAGCTGTACTGAATTTGCAAATACTACTCATTACATTTGATGCTCTCTGGCTTATTCTGTGAGAGAATGTATGTGTTAGTTTGAACGTTTTACTTTTTTCATCTGTTTTTGTTTTGCTGCTTTCCATTTTTGTGCTTTTTGTTTAGCATAATTACTCTGGAAAGGACCTGTGGAGTTGCATAATCTAAAATTGTCATTTTAAAATTGAGAAACTAAACTGCTGAGGAACCAAACTTATTTGGGAAAAATCACACAGCTAGCAGAGTGGAGTCTGTGATCTTACTTCCAGTCATTGTGTTACTTTCTCTTACCACACTGCCCCATACTTTCATTTTTGAAGTAAAAGACATGAGTGTTTGCTATCAGTATGTGCAAAAATTAGATAAAAATAACAGTCCTATTGCCAGTGGACATGCTGTTGACATGATGCATGCTATTTTTTCATTATTTTGATTTAAATATATGTTGAAACTTGAGTAACATTTTTGTATAATATGCTTTGAATAACAGGTCTAGATAAAATTGAATTTCTGCAAAGCCATGAAAATCAAGAAATTTACCAAAAGGCTTTTGACCTGATCGAACATTACTTTGGTGTAGATGATGATGACCCCAGCATTGTACCTCAGGTGGATGAAAACCAGCAACAGTTTGTATTTCAGCAGCAGGAAGCACCAATGGAAGGGTTTCAACTTTAACTTGGTGGCAGAAAAAAATTAATGGCTAAAAAGGATAGCTTCAGATATCTCCTCTTTGTTACCATGTCAGTAGGAACGTTTGATGTGTTTTTATGTAGAAAAGAAGATGATTCATTTTTAAAAGCAAAACAAAACAAAAGTTCCCGTTCAGCTGCAACCTTTCAGTATAGCTTTGTGTTTATTTTGATGTGCCTATATATATGTCTTTTATTGTTTTGTCTATTTCTTAACCTACTATGAACAATGAAATGCATTATAAAGTTATTTAATAACTTAAGGTTGAAAAGGAGAACTTTGGTAAAGTATGGTTCTGAGTTTTTTTCTCGCATTTGGAGACTGCATATTAGCAGTACAGATATTTATAATTGCATTTTGGCAGTAAGTCTGACAGGCCCAACCTCTACTAAATCTACCTCTATCTTGAAGCAGAAACAAAACAAAAGGCTTCAGAAGCATTAAATAGTGTAAAAGCTAAATTCAAATGTGAAAATAATCTATTACTTTAAATTATAAATCACTGTGCTGTAGGTTATACTGTGCAAAAAAATTACAACAGAAAAAAGCTATAAAATTTATTTATAAAACACATTAGAAATATTGTACTGATAATCAATTAAAATGTGACGATTGTGAAGAGAGAAGCTGTTCTTCATGATGAGCACATTAAAATGATTATGCAACATTAAATATTTGTGTTTTTAACATATAAATGCTATTATATTGGTATATTTTGTATTTTGACCAAATGTGCTACCATTTTTGAAATAGTGTTTTATAATTTTTCACGCTTCATTTTAAAAAGCATCATTTTAAGGGATGCCATCATGAATCTAAAGTAGTGCTGCATAGCAAAAATAATACTGTAATTCTTTCTCTGATTTTTCAGAGCAGTAATTGGAAAGTTTCATTTTCTTTTTAGTAATGAATTTAGGTACTTGAAGGGCAAAGTTATCCTGAAGAAGTCACCTTGATATGTGCTAGTTTATTAAATATACTTATGTTTGGACACTAAAAGATGATGTTTATGGAAACTGCTAAGGATTCTTTAATATAGTTGAAATCTATATTAGGATTTTTTTTTTTTAATACTCAGAAGATCATACTGCTGTTATCAATCAGTGTATTTAAAATTACATTTGTATCAGATTGGTCAACATAATGTATGTGTTTCATGTATTAAAGGCAAAACCTCTTCAAACAAACTTGAAGAAAAGTTTCAATAGAAAAATTATACATATATTTATTTATGGATACATATATATGTATGTGTCTGTGTATTATTCTCACAGTACTATACTTGGTAGAGTTTTCTAAGCAGATATGGTACTGTTGAACTCAGTTTTTTTCATTTATAGTTATATTCAGGCTATTTACATTTCCAATTATATAACTAAAATATTTAAAAGTTAGTTTACAACTGTTTTAAGATGGGAACTAAAGCATTTTTGATATGATTCATAGTCTATTCTGTAAAGAAAGATTTCATTTATGATAGCATTTATAATGTTTCTGCTGGAAATCAGAGGCATGTTACAAGAAGAAAATATATATATGAGTACTTTTAAATAGTATGATACTTTGTAAATTATAATGAAACTAAGCTTTTGGCAAGACACTTAAAACCTACAGCTCTAAAGTACAGGTTTAAATGGTGTCCATAATGCTGACTATCTGCCAAACCTCTTTTATATTAAGTAAAGGATTGTATCTGTGCCCTTTTTATTGTAGTGGAAGTTACGAAGTTTAGTATAAAAAGTTTCTTTTGCATTATGTATGTTCGAAAGAACAGGGTAGTTATATTAAAGATTAGCAAATTGATGGTGAATTTATCAGATAAACACTTTTTGTGGTATAGATGATTCTAAGTATAAGGTGACAGGGTATTCCACTCTTTCTATTCAGTTGAACTTAATGCAGCATAATTCATAAACTAACCAGCTGTGCCTGCTTTTATTTTGAGGACCCTGTAATCACATTAATAAATCTCTAAACGAAGTCTTTCAAACAAATAGTTCTTATAGAAGGAAAAATAATACATATGTTTGTGCACATGCACACACACAGAGGAGGATCTGTGAAGGGAGGATTTTAAAAATTTTGCCAGTATAATAAACATATCTCTAAGTACAGATATTAACTATATTTTATGCATTCAAATACAAAATTACATTTGATTTCATGGACCTGTTACATGGGTATTTGATTAGACTTGAATGCAAGGGACAGTAATAGTTGGGATCAGCTATTGGTGCGGTGATGACTTTATTGAACGAAGACTAGCAAATTCTTTGTTCTCAAACTTTTTTTCAATGTGGCTACTTTTTTCAAGTGTACTATTTAAAATGCTTCAAAATGTGTTTTCATTAATCTTCACTGACCCTTGTGGGTAAAAAAATGTTTTAACTTCTTTTCCTAAGGTTCATTATATTTAAATCCGAGAGAAGCTGTGCCAAAAAAAAAAAATTCAAACATGTAAAGGGGACACATGCAACATTAATGCAAAAATCTAGAAAATACTTGAAAGAGTCCTTTACATTTATTTAAGTAAATTTGGTGTTTTGTCTTAATTTGAATTTTTACTAGTTAATCTATGCAATTGTGCTTACTTGTTTTATATTTGTAAGTACTTGACTCACTGGACTGTTTTTTGTTTGTTTGTTTTTAATATAAGTTTTCTTTCTAAAGATGTTCCTAGGACTTAATTCTTAGTGTCATTTTATTCACTTACTGGTAGTTTCAGAACAAGCAAGCAAAAAAACACAACACAAAAAAACAAAGTAATAAAATCTCTTGGTAACAGTAAAACCTGTTTGCAGTTAAAGCTTGATTTGTTTGATGAAGGACTAAAAGAAGCATACCTTTGCCTTCATATCTTTCCTCTCTTAAGAAGGAGCATTATGGAAAAAGTATGATAACAAAGTCTTAGTGGATTTTTGTTCCTGTTCTAAATTCAGCAGTCTGCTGGCTACTTTGTGAAACAGAGATCCAAGTATTGTTAACCTTTACTCACTTCAGTTCATAGCATTACTGTTTTATGAAATGTGACATATTAGGAGACAATATGCTAGGGCTCTAAAAGGATAATGTATTAAGTTCTGGTTGGGGAGTGGGGGATGAAGGGGGGACATTGTTGCCTAACTAAATCAACATTTGAGCAGTATGCAATATAATATGTTACAGCACTCTATTAAAAATAATAAAATACTATTTTACAATTGCATTTATGTATGTGTGTATTTCATTTATTCTTAGATTATATGTATATCCTAGCAGAGCAAAAACAGATGCCATCATTGATTAATATTCCAGCCACTTTCTAAAACCAGTAAGACAAAAGTTTGTATGAAGCAGTATGTTGCTTTTATTTTAGAATCTATATATTTTGCTATAATAGGAAAAATGTCTAATATATTTTTGTCTCTCAAGCCTTGGCAATTACTGGACATTCATAGTTTTAACTGAGATTATTTTTTCCTATTCTGTTATTTAATACAATACAATGGGTTTATTTAGAAATTGGAGGGTTTAACTTTCTTACAGTACTCTGGAACGTAAGGCCACAGAGTAGCCAAGCCTAGGCCCCCCTAACCTAGTGTTTTTATCTTTCACCACCACATTTTTTGCTTTGGATGATTTCATTTCCTTCAGTATTTGAAACTATGTTAATCACAGAGTAGTGAAAGTAATTGGATGAGTTATTTTCAGTGTACAGTGTTTCTAGTCTGCAATTTTAATGGCAAATGAATTACTGAAAATGAATGAAGATACAATGTACATGCCAAAAAACAGACTTCAGTGTGCAGTGGAGTTAAACTTCCCAGAAATCCCTAAATATATCCTTTAATGAGGTGTTTGCTTAATTTTATACATGTTCTCTAATTTCCTTTCATATTTGAACAATTGACTAAGTTAAATAAACACATGATCCCTCCCTCCTTTTAGCACATCTAATGGTTTTTTTAAAAAATCCTCACCCGAGAATATGTTTTTCATTGACTCTAGAGAGAGAGGGAGAGGGAGAGAAAGAGAGAAACATCAGTGTGAGAGAGAGACACTGATAGGTTGCCTTCCACTTGCATCCCGACCTAGCATCGAACCCACAGCCTGGATATGTGCCCTGACTGGGAATCGAACCCATGACCCTTCAGTGCATGGGCCGATGCTCCAACCAACTGAGCCATACCTCCCAGGGCGCACATCTAATGATTTTTATGTTTGTTTCAGTAGTTTAAATTTTAGGAGACATATATATCATACATTATTAATACCACTTTATCATTACATTTTTTCATTCTGTTATGAAATGAAAATTTCAAATAATTTCACTGGCAAGCAATGCCGCACAGCACCACCAGAACTAAAATGCTGACTGGGGCAACCCCACCAAGTAAAGAACTTGGAATGCTCAGTAGTTAATGTACATTTTAATTTGGAAACAGTAGACAGTTTAGGCAATTTAATGTGTAATACCCCAAAGTGCCTGTTATTTAAAAATGGAATATTTTATACTTGTGGAAAACTTTACTGTTGAGGTATCTTTCTTGTTCCCTATAAAAAGAATAACTAGAGGGGCTATTCAGTTACCAAATACAGTGGGACTTTGGTTGAAAATTAGATTTAGAGAGTCCTTAGTGATTTTAGTTCAACAACATTTTAATGACACGCAGTGTTCATTTTAGCTTTTTCTGTCATGGCTAAAAACTGGGCTAAACATAAATTGTGACATATCCAATGGAATATTATACCACTAGAAGTGAATGAATTCGTGCTACACACAATCTGCGGATAAATCTCACAACATAACGTCGAGCATAAGAATCTATGCTCACAAGTGCGGATTGTGTAATTCCATTTACATAAAGTTCAAAAACTAATGTACGGTGATAAAACTCATGACAATGGTTACCTTTGGAAGCTAATGACAGGGCTAAAAGGAGGCTTCTGAGCTGCTGCTGCTGTTCTACATTTTGACCTGCACAGTGGTTACTCAGGTGTGCTCACTATGTAAAAATCTATCAAAGTGTGTATACACTTTTGTGTACTTGTCTGAATGTATATTTCAATAAAAATTTACTAAAAGGTAAAAATAGAAAAGACTGTGCTTGTCACCAAAAAAATACCCATGGCAAGTGTTTTGCCAGATACTCTACTTGAGCTATCTTCTGTTGTCGCTGATAAGATGATATCCTGATTAACCCTCCGTCACTTAGAGTATCATTTAGTCTTAGCCTGTGCAGCCAAAGCAGCTTCTTCACGCCACTTAGCTTTCTTTGCCAGGTTCCAGCTTGTCAAAGATTCATGTCTTTCTACAGCCTGAAAAAAAACAAAAAACAAAATGCAAAGCATTGTAACTCTCTGGAAAGAATTTGTGTTTTAGATAGACATATGTAGGAGAGATTCAGTGAAAGGGAGAAAAGTAATTTAAACCATCTGTCAGTAATAGTATCCAAGAAAATGATCCCTTGGTATAGAAAACAAATTGCTTCAGTTGCTAGACTTCCAATCAACACGGCAGCTGATGTCAGAAACTTGCCCCATCCTTTCTTGGCGCACACAGATATATTTTGTATAAAAATTAACTCAAAGAAAGAGAAATCCTCAGGTATCAGAAATGAAAAGAACTCAAAAGGCATGAATTGGTGGGGAATGAGGAGGGCTGAAGTCAGGATAGAAGGAAATGGTTTCATTCTGGGGGGAGCAGTAGGAAAAAATACTGGCTTCAACAGCCATGGGCTGGGAGTTTACCCTCTGTACCAACCGGCAGGTCCAGGGTTTGGATCTTGGGCATAGGGTTGAGCTACCAATGAAAAGTTGGAGGTCCTAGGAAAAGGTACCCCTATGAAATTACCAAAACATCTCTCACCAGCCTGAGGAACTGGCAAAGAAAATAAGCTTTTATTGGGGTGGGGGGAAGGAATCATCTGTGAAAAGAAAAGATAATTAAGGAGTAAAAACTCTAGCTAGAAGATAGATCTGAGGAAATAATCATCTAAATTCAGCACAGTTAAGATACAAAAAACAGAAAAGAGAGGTTAAGAGACATGGAGAATAGAATTAGAAGTTCCAACATACATTCGTAGTAGGCGGAGAGGGAACAGATACACTGGGGGTAGGGGCTGTCTTTGAAGTTATGACAGTTTAACGTTCAGGGTGAGGAAAGCTATAGGCCCCTCAGACCGAAGAGCATACAACGTTCTTAGAATAAACAGAGGTGTGACATTGGTGGAAGTCTAATACGCATCTCACAGCTAATATATCCAAAGAGAGGACTGTCATGCCTGCCAGTTCTTTCTCCAGCCTTACACAGCTCAACAACAGCACCACCATCCATCTAGTTGTTCAAGTGAAAAACCAGGGCTTTGGGGTTTCTTTCTTCTGTTTTCTCTCCTCTTCTCACTTTGAATTTATCACAAAGTTCTCTTCTTTGTACCTCCCCAAATATATTTCAAATTGCTCACCTTTTCTCTCTAACTGCCACAATCTTAGTTAAGGTACACGCATTAACGACTCAAAATGAAAGGTGAGCTGGAGAGAGGCAAGAGGGGCGGCGCGAGGCGATTTCAGAAGATACTGCGGTAAACTAGGCGACAGGTGCTGGTCATCTCAGACCAGGGCGATAGCAGGAGAGACGGTGCGGGCTGCTCCAGCTGTGGGTGGGTTTTAAAGGAGAGCCAACAGGATCGATGACATATAATGACCTCATGAGCACTGGAAAGATGATGAAATAGTGCCTGGGGGAGGCCATTATAGACGGCGTGGTCAGCGGAGCTTTCTTTGAGAATGAGAAGAAGCCGTCTATGGCAAGAGCAGGGAAAGGAAGGAAAGCCTAGAGAGGAGAAAGAGTTTGATGTTTCAGAACACAGAAAAAATAATCAGTGCAGACGGAGCATAATGAACAAAGAGGAGATGGTGCGAAACAGGGAGGGTCCGGACAGTGTCAGGCTCCAATCTGTCATTTAGGAGCTAAAAAAATCATCAACTTGGTGGGCAGTCATTTTATCTAGGGAAGGTCAAAAACAAGAGATGACCACATTTATTTCTGTGTTTATGTGTTCATCCCAACAAAGACTTAAGAAATTTTCCATTTGCTGAGAATAATTTCAAAGCATAAGTTCTTTGCTAGGGTAAGATAATAGAAATGAATGGCCATGTGCATAAAATCAGTAAGCTTAGTGGCCCTAGTCCACATGTGAATTATTGGGCTCAAATACTCTTGAAAACCTGGAAAGTAAAGAAGAGCAGAATCATAGGAGCAGGCAAAATTATCATTCTAAAGGGCCACCCTCTGGGCATCGGCTAAACATGCCCAGAGCATGACGCTGTATGGATCCAAGCAAACCAGTCTGTGTGACATGGCTGTCAAAATCCAGTTCCAACTCGTACTGAGCCACTAAAACATGATGTTCATAAACAAGAAAGTTCTAATCACGCTCTGATGGGCTCAGTCGCAGGTGTCACAATGACTAGAGACACTAATCAACTGGAGTGTGTCCAGAGGAGAGCTCCAAATAGAGGGACATGTTTAGGGACAGAGTAATGAAGACTGGAGAAGGCACATAGGGATGTGTGAGATGTCTGCCAATATGTGTGGGGCTGCTGTTCGATGTAAAGTTTGATCAGCAGATGGAAGGATTTGGTTAAGCAGGAAACAAAATTAGAGTAATTGATTAGCTCTTAATTTCTCTCTAGAAAGCACATATTGAAGACGGCAAGAAAAAGGCTCAGATACAGGATATAGACAAACTAGTCGGCCTTGGTGATCACTTCCCACTTTTGCATTTCTTACTATTTTGTGATTCTGTGCTATAGCTAATTGAGTTCACGACTTAAGGAATGATCTAGTCTGGATAACGCTCACACAACAAAGTTCTTCTGTGCCGATTTTAACCAGGCAACACACTGTTCTGTTCTGTTTTGTTTTTATCTTACAAATGAAAACAAACTTTTGTCTCTCCTGCTCATATAGTCCATTTGTTGACTCAAATTTCCATGAACAAGTTTGTTTCCAGTATAGATAGATATATGTGGGTGCCTCAAGGTGTCTAAGAAAAAGTTGTTCTTACATGGAAAGAACAGCAATAATCCCCAAATTGAGAACAAAGCTCTTAATACTTTTTAAAATTCTCAGTCTGTTTTCACCCCCACACTCCTAAGTGAAAACACACTGTACTTCTGTCTGTCTTTTCTTTTCACGTCTGTCTTTACCTTAAAGAGGTACTCACCCTTTTGGCCGACGCTATCACTGCAAAGCAGGCGATGACTGTGAGCCCAATCATTATGTAGCAAGCTTTCACTCGAGCTCTGTTTCTTGCAGCATTGATCATTTCTCGCCTACATCAAGATAGGTATTCTGTTAAGTACATTAAAGCAATATGATTTCCTGACTGGCATAACAGACAGTGATTTGTAAGGTATCTATTCCAAAAATTTCCCTGAATGCAAATTGCAGATGTGAAAGACTTCCAAATGCTGGGTCATCATCTTACCGATTTCAAATGAACAGGTATATATTTAGGTGTTAACTGATGTTAGCACTACAAAACCAGTGCAGTTACTCAGTTTCTAACTGACCAAAATATAACGAACTGCTAGAGATTATGGCCTGACTGTCCATCCTTTGACTTTTTCCACTGGTTCAGGGGTAAAGGTAAGCATGAAAGCCACTGTATGCCTGACTCGTGCTGTTCATTTGTTTTTGTTTTCAGTTTTAAACAGGCTGTTTTTTAAAACTCATTTTCATCATTTTGCTTTTTTACCGGCCTCCCAATCTCTTATTGCCGCCCCCTCCCATCCTATCCCAGTTAAAGAGACTGTTACACGTTTTGTGAGGATGACTGTTGTTACACTGCTATAATACATTGTATATTTTTGTGAGAATAACTACAGAGAAAAGGTGTTTCCTTCATGGCTTTGCACGAAGTTTTTGGAAGAAATGATTAAAATCACAATGATTTGTCAAAGAAAAAGAGAAAGGACACCTGTATTTTTGTATTATTATTCTGAAATTTTACATGCTTATTTGAAAACTGAGTAGGCTAATTCATTAATAAAATTACAAGCAAGTTGCCCCAAATTTTAGATATACCATTTACGAAGCAGTGTTACAAAAGTAATCATGCCTGTAGGCCTATTATATTGAAGTCAACTTTAACAGTGTGCAGTAATATGGAGCAGCAGTTTATAAGTACACATAATTAAAAAGTGATTGTTGCCCGGCCGGACATGGCTCAGCAGTTGAGCGTGGACCTAGGATCCAGGCGATCAGGGTTCGATTCCCGGTCAGGGCACAAGCCCGGGTTGCGGGCTGCAGCCGATCAATGACTCTCTCATCATTGATGTTTCTCTCTCTCTCTCTCCCTCTCCTTTCCTCTCTCTGAAATCAATAAAGATATATTTAAAAAAAAAAAATAGTGATTCTTGAGAATGTACTCAACGGTATTCTTTCTTACCTAACATCGAGCTTAAATAAAATGCAATTACATAAAAAATGTTTTCATAAAGACAAGCTGTAGTTTCTCTTAAAAATGAAAAACGTTTCCACTAGTCAAAGAAGCACAGAAAACCAATACCTAGACTGTTTTCCTTAGACGTTAGGCAGATTTATATGTTTTCAGACATCAGCTGCAAACAGGCGAATATAAAGACATGTCATTAGATTATATTTGTTGTTGACTTTTATTCCAGATGGGACCTGATAGATCTGATGTTTTTTACCCATCCATCTGGCTTTGATCTACTCTACCAAATTAGTTTAGAACAGAAAGGACCAGAAAAAGTACAGTTATTATTAAATATCATTAATGTCTGGTACAAAAATTATAGGTCACTTGGTAATTACATGCCCATTAAGAGCATAAAAAGTAAAAACTGTCTACACTGTAAAAGTCAGCAGAGGAGGCGTATACCTTCCAAGTAGCAATGCTTTAAAAAAATTATAGAAAATAGTAAAATGAAAAGTGTTCAAATACTTTCATATTTTCAACCCCAAACTATGACACTTTCCATAGGCGTCTTGTTCAAAGTTAAATTCCCCTGTTTATAATACTCCTTTTAACTGTGATCCTGGGGAAATTAAATTATTTCTATAAAATGGATCTCTTCACACATACAGCTGTATTAATACGATGCTGGGCCTGGAGTCTCCTGACAAGCATTAATTTACAATACATTCTCAATTACTTTATTAGGGCACTAGCACTCAAAATCCAAAAAAACCTGAGAGTGCTGTTTTAGCATTGCTGAGGCTAATTTCTGCTTTGGGCTGTCTGCAGTTTGGAGTCTATAGATCTCAAAGAAAAGAAAGTTTCCTTTATAATATTAAAAAAGTCTCTGGATGAATAAATGCTGAAAAACACTTCAAGTTCCACGATATTTCAAATTCCATATCCATTCCTCATGAAATAATTTGATCCAAGAAAGGAATAAATGTTTGAGAATTCATTATTGAGTGAACACATACGAACACGTTTTATTTTTTCGTTTTGTTAAGGTGCTTTTGGTAATTAGTAAATTAACAAGCAAGAGAAGTGTAGGTAGTTATGTGCAGAACAAGATGTAGGCCCAGGTTTCAGTATCTATTCTGACAGGCATTTATTATATCGTATAAAGATAACATTCAGAACCTTTTAAGTCCTTATTTGACATTATAGTTCTAGTCTACTTTTAAAATCAGTTAAAAAATATTAGGTGGATTTTATTCTTAGTGTCCTCCCTTCCCTTTTTGCCCACTCCCCTGCAAAAATGCTGGCAAGTTTATGGGGTTTTGCACGAACTGAAACTGCAGGAAGGATAGTTTTTAATTTAGTTTCTTGTTTGCATTTACTCTGGAGGTGACATTGTCAGCTTGCTTTATCTTTTACGGAGCCTTTATCGTGGGTTTGGGATGGAGACGAGGCCAGCGATGCGCTGGGGGTCCTGGTCCTACTAAAGCGGGGCTCAGAGGGGCGCAGAGCCGCGGGTACCCCAGGCGTCTCCCGCCCAGGAAAGGAGGCCACGCGGCTGCTTCCCGGGGAGTCTGCA